GTCATTTAAGTGCCGAAGATTAGAAATGCTACTACATGGTAACAAACTAATAAAAGAAAGTAAACAGATAAGGATGCAAGACGTTTTTAGTTTTAGTAGAGGTTTTATGGCGCTCGCAACTGCATAAGGTCATATGAGCGCCAGAAGAACAGAGGTGTTACAAGAGAGTAACAAACATAAATAAAGAAAGAGGGTGGATAAGGACGATAGATATTTGATAGGAAAGAAGAAGCAAACCAAACCAGAGCACCCGCCAACCACCCACATGCAAGATGTTTGATAGAAAAAAAAGAAACAAATCCCACCAGAGCACCCAACAACACCCACTGAGTTATAATAACAATAATAATAAATACCATCGGTATAGCACACATTCCTACCTGAATGGTAAGCTCTGTGCCCTTAACAATCTTTGTATATTATTACCCCAGTAAACCTGATAACATTCTGAAACAATCTCAACTTCCTTTAGCCCCCCATCTGGAATGGACTAGACCTAGTACACACTTCTGCACACCCATGGTCTCCCCTTACAGTGGGGCCACGTTTGGGTCATCAGGACATCGAAGGAAAAAAAATGTCGCAATGTTTATTCAGGATTTCGACCAACTGTTCACGGTCAATTTACTTTCACTATTGACCTGAACACAAACACCGACAATCTAAAAAAATTAAAACTAAATATTTTTTTAAAAACATAAAAAAACCAACAAAAACCAAAGCTAAAAACCAATAAATATCTAACAAAAAAAAAAAATTAAAATAAATAAAACCATTTAAAAAAAACAACCCCCCTTCCCCCCCATCTCACTCACATTGAGAGAGTTGACCACCGGCACAGGCGTGACGGGTTTGTTGACTGGGCCCATGCCCTCGTAGAAGGTGTACTCGGCCTTGTCTGTGCTGATGATGGTCCAGGAGGCCCCATCGTTGATCATCTCACGCTTGGCTTCTTTGGGACACGGGGTGGCCTGGGGAGGAGGGAGGGGAGGGTTTAGTTTGTCTGTCTGTTTTAAAAGAGATTTTACTACGGCGCTCGCGACAGCATACGGTCATGTGAGCGTCAAGGGGCGGATGTCAACAGAGAATTCCTTACAGGGAATCAGACTTACTCTGCTCACCTCTCTAGCTTCGACAGCACGAAGTCTGCTTCGACTATCAAGGCACCCCGGAAATAGTGAGTCACAAGAGTGTGATAAACATGAAATCTGGGTTTGTCCGCTTGTCCTTAAAAGAGACCATTTTTCCCATGGTCCTCTGGAGCTACAACATTGAGAAATACGTTTGAGACATTTTTTGCAAGGAATAACATTCAGATGTATTTTTTACATTTTAGCGAAGGAAAAAAAGTTGCAATGTTATTACGTTTTTGAAGTGCAGAGGGTCAATTTAGTTTGGTTGATTCCAATCACTACCAATACGAGCATAAAACAATGCAGTGTAGTATTTGAGGAAAGAGATTCCAATTGCAAGCCACCACAAACATTTGAAAGTAGTCATGGACTCAAAAACACAAAGTTTGCAGTCATGGTATAGTCACCTGGAACTGAATTATCCTTTCCTGAGACAGGCAGAGGTACATCCGTTCCGTGTCCTTGAGGTAGAACGCACACTTGTGCAGCTGTGACACCGGGTCGTCCGCATCCAACAGCGACGTCTGCTTGTCCACCTTGCGGATTATCTGCACACAAACACGGGGGAAATGAGTCAAGAGTTAGAATGTTTTTTGTTTTTTTCGTCCAGTGTCCTCATATGGCACAGAATTTTGGAAAGTCATACATAAAATTATATGCACACATGGGGGCGGGGGAAATGAGTCAAGAGTTAGAGTGTCTTTTTTTTGGTCCCGTGTCCTGATTTGGCACAGAATGTTGAAAAGTTATAAATAAAATTATTTGCACACACGTTTTTGTTTTTTTTCTTTCGGGCCCACGTCCTGATTTGGCCTGGAATTTTGTAGTTATAAATAAAATTATCTGCAGACCCGCGGGGAAAATGAGTCAGGAGTGGGAATTTTTTTAGTCCCGTATCCAGATTTGGCACAGAATTATGGAAAGTTATAAATAAAATTATCTGCACACACGCGGGGAAAATGAGCAATGAGTTAGTACTTCTTTCTTTTTTTTTTTCGTCCAGAGTCCAGATTTGGCACAGAATTTTGGAGAGCTATATATAAATAATGTTCATATCGTCATACCAATGTACCTACTATTAGAATTAAGATTGTTCAGCATAATAAAAAAAAAATAAAGATACTGTTGTATGGGTTTTTTTAACGACGATGATGACGATAATGATGACGAGCCGAAAATATTGATGATGATGACTAAATATTAATGATAACGATGTGAATTAATCTTGATGTTAATTTGGTTCTTCCTTTCGTGCCTTCACTGCAACATGTACCTTCAGAAATATAGTACACAAAGACATTCAAAAGAACATAAATAAATGGAAATGAACGACCCCCCCCCCCAAAAAAAAACCCCAACCCAACAGAAGTATATAACGTCATAAGCCAATTAGCTCTAAAGCTAGTTCAAAAATTCAAACTGAAGACCAACATAATAAATACTTCTTTCAGTCTCTCTTCCCAAGCTCTTCTTTTTCTACATAACCCTCAACTTCTTCTCCCTACCCAGTGTTTTATTTTTATTTTTCCCGTTCTCCTTCGCTTCTCCCATTTCATTGTATCTTTATTCATCTTAGTGTCCCCCTTCCCCCCCCAATCCTCCACATAACAAACTGTCCTTAAACTCAGTTGAGCTTATTTGTCATGAAGGAAGAAAAGACCACAACTGACCAGTCTGGGTAATGCCATGCCAGTGACTGAACAAACAAGTTTGACCGTGGAGCCATAGTGAATGTATCCATCCTTGACCGTGAACTCCTCAGATTCTCCTTCATCGTCGTCCACTGAAAACAAAAGAAAATAATTTGTTTGAATGTAAGATGTTTTGACACAATTTAGATAATTCATTTCTGACCCTGCCTGTCTGGTTCCAGTGCTAGGTAGATAGCAATAGACGATAATACACAGTCGAACAGACACTAGACACAGCACAGCAACACCACACACTGAGCGATACTCACAAACGCTGTGACAGAAGAGACAAAAACAAGGGGACAAAAACGCAACGGGTTAAATAAAACATAGTGTAAATATAGTGTAAAGTGCATAGAGTTTGCTTTCGAGCTGTACAAATGCTATTTATTATCATAAAAAATCACAGAAAAACATTAACAGCTATACTTACAAGCTCCCTGACAGAAGCATAAGTCTCAACTCAGAATCTTTTAAAGGAGGAATTTTCCTCGTGATCGCGACAAGACCATTTTTACCAGACACCCATTATTATTATACTTGCTTAACCCCAGAATGCTGAAATAAAAAACATCAATTTATCAAGGCAAGGTTATTTCATACCAATTTGAGGGTTTGGAAGATAATTTCAAGTAAAAAAAAAAAGAGTAGCGGTAGTGGAGTTAAGCGGAGAAATTGGAGGAACCAGAAATCCACTAAATAGCGGAATATTGAGACACATGCAGAAGAGAAAAACATGGGAACAGAGACGCAACGAGAGAAATGCCACCACAAACACAAACAGTGATACTCACATAAGTGGATGGTGAACGCCCCCCACTGGGTGGAGCTAGCGTGGAAGTTGCCATTTTCAACATGGAGGTAGCGTGTGCTGACCGTCTGGGAGCGTAACCTGTTGAACAGCGCCACTTTTGTCCCAGATGCTATACACACTGTAGGACGCACACACAGAAAAACAAGGTCACTGACTGCAGGTACATCAGGCATGAACAAACATAAGTCTTACTTCTGACTAAAAAGATTTCTTTAAAAGTATGCGTTTTTACCACCCCCATCAACACGATTTAGATCATTTAGGAAGCATGGTTCCCATCCCACTTGTAAGGACCAACATATCAGCACGAAAACCAAAAATTATATTCCACATAAATTTGCCTCCTCACTCGAGAATCGAAATCAGTTCCAAGCTCTTCGAGAAGAATAGTATGGCAAGGTATTTTTGCTGTCTGCGACACATTTATAAAAGTCTCTTTACATCTGTGCAAGTACATTTACTAGAGCTGATTAACAAAGTAAGATATAAGCAGTGTCTACTATGTGTATCATATGTGTGAATGTGTGATGAATTTGTAAGTGTGATGAGTTTATACGTAATGGTGTGGTGTTCGTGCGCACACGTGTATGTGTGCATATCCCCATGTACATGCGCACATCACAACAAGACCTATCCAAAAAGGTTAACACATAACATACTCAAATGAGGCCCAACATTTGACAAAAACGTCTTCATCTCACTACTCAACAACTTCAGTTTGACAAAAGACCAGCACATCAGCACATCTGTTTGATTTTTGTAAGTGTTTTAGTTTTATGGCACTTGCAACACAATTAGGTCATATAAGTGCTGATGATTTGAGTGTAACAAAATATAAAAGAGGAGAGATAAGGACAATAGATGTTTGAGGAAAGAAAGAGCAAACCACACCCGTCAATCACCTATACAAACAGATAGACAGAAACAACATTAAGAAAAGGCACACAATAGTAGAGCTGCCCCCCTTTAGTTTTTAGTTTTAGTAGAGTTTTTATGGTGCTCACAACTGCATAAAGTCATATAAGCGCCATGGGGCGGATGTCAACAGAGAAATCCATACAGGGAATCAGGTTTACTCTGCTCACCCTTCGTGCTTTAACAGCACAAAGTGTCTGCTTCGACTATCAAGGCACCCCAGAAATAGTGTGCCACAAGAGTGAGACAAACAAAAGAAGTAGAGGAAAAAAGAAGA